TCTGTGAGGCCGTACAGGAGCTCCCTTGCCCGCGGGCTCGGCCGTGCAGGCTCGGTCCCGGCCCCAGGCGCTGAGGGAGGCCGCTCTCCCCTCACACCAGCGCGGATCCGGCCCTGGGGCCCGCGGGACCTGCGGCTGGGGCCCTCTGGCACAGGGTCCGCACCAGCCTGACTGCAGCTGCTCTCGGCATGGGTTTTTACCAGCTTAATTCATTTTATTTTCCTTCCAGCTGCTTTTTTTTGCAGAATCTGGGTGAAGTCTTGGCCCCCTTAACGTAGCTGATGTTGATTTCAGCAGGGCCAAGAAGTAAACTCGTGGCTTGGAGGGAGACTTGTCATTTACCTACGCGCCCTTTTGAGGGAAGGTGAGGAAATGAAGCAGTGTTGAACAAGCTGAGTTGTCCTCGTTCAGTGCTGCCTTATGCCAAAATTGAATCTCTGATTTTTAGGGAGAGATGGCTTGAGAAATCAGATTAAATTAAATCAATGCCCTCTTATTTCTAGTATTTGAGATCTACCTCATTAATGATTGTAATTCTGCTTCTTGCACATAATGGGTTAGGTTTTGTTTTTTTCTAAGTGGATGGAATATCCGTGAGCAGAATTGTGGCTACTTCTTAATTGTTTTTAGGTCCTCCTTAGGATCCTTGGGCCAAGATATAGTTTGTAGGTGCTGCACAGAACAAAAGGGCAGTTCCTGCCCTCCCCAAGGTCCTGCAGTTTCTATTTTTATACTGATTCTAATACAGAAACTTGTTTAACAATCAGTCTCAAACCTCTGAGTTCTGATGGCCAGATCACAAATGTTTTGTGATGAAACAGAAAACATTGGTTTTCTTTCTCGCTATTTGTATTATGGTAACACCCAGAGGCTTCACTGTCCTGCTGACTTACAAGCATAGTAAATGATAGTTCACCCAATTAGAGTATGGTGGACTGGGAGCCTCTTACACCCCAACAAAAGAAAATAACATTGCAGTGCTTGTAAACAACACTGGTACCAGATTATATCATCTAAATGAGATTTGTAGTATATAATTTATTTTGACTTCTGTGGAAATCAGTGCAGTAAAAGGATTTGTAACAGAATTTTCACTGATTAACAATATGTCACTGAGATTATCTTTTAACGTGTTACATAGGTGTCTGACATCTGTTTAGAGAATGATAATAATGCCCCTTGACTTGGCCAGAAACCTGAATTTTTCTTGAAGGTATTAAAATACCTGCGGAAATTTAGTTTGGTAACTCTTTTGGCTTTGAACATGCCTCTTGTGTAGGTTTCTTGACATAATCGTGCACCATTTACAATTTCTAGATATGAGCAATATAAGACCATATTTGAGAGAAGGATGAATCAAAATCAGGCTTCCAACATGTGTATAATATACTGTGTTACTGCCTGAGGTAATAGCTTGAGGCCCAGGCTAGGCCTACTACTGACTTGTGTGATGCTCTGCCATATCAGAGAGTAGTTCCAGAAGTTACAAAGTCTTGTAAGATCTCCATGCTTAATTTTGGGGATAGTGGCAAATTCTAGCCCTCATGAAAGACACTAAACAATGCAATCATCCTTTCCTTTAAATACAGTTAAAACCAGAGTATTCTCTGTGCTTGCGTTTTGAAATTGTTAGTTTGAGTTTGCATTTACTGCTGTAATAAAATACCTGAAATGAATAGTCCACTTTCTTTTTGCTAATCAGTCACAGAGATAAGGAAGAAAGAGTATTGCACTAATCCTCAGCACCTGGAGATGTTGGGTTCTTTGTTTGGCTTAGGTAGCACATAAAATTTGGTGTGTTTTGTCATAATTCTGATTGCCATATGGTGTACCTATGGACAAAGTCAGTGAGTCTGTGCTCTTGAGAGTCCCTGAACGAGCTGGAAAGGCTCTCTAAAGAGCAGCGCTTCAGAAACAACTGTGAGAAAAAAGTGAGTAGCATGGCTAGAGAGTGGAACATCTGGAAGGGAAAGGGAAAGGCTTGTCCTGGGTACTTGGGTGATGGGCGCTGCTCTGAAGTCCATGTGATCGTGTATGTTCACTAGTCTCGATATAGAAACTATGTGACTATGAATCATCCTAGCCATGAGTGTATGTGGGCAGAATGTTAGAACTGTATTTGCTTCAGCATCCTAAGGTACAGGGGACTACAGCTATTAGGCTATACCTGTTATTTTAGATTCAAAGGCAGAGCATAGATTATATATATATATATATATATATATATATACCTAAGTCCATATTTGTAGGAATTTTTTTCTTTTGCTTTAGGAAAATGTGAGTTACTGCTTCTTCCTGGTAACTTTGAGAATAATCTTGTCTATCCATTGAGAAGTACACAGTCTTTTAGAAACAAAACCAGTAAGATGAAAAGTCTCAGTTGAAGCATATAGATGAGGCAATATTTAGAATTATATCAACTCGGGATACGTGGAGTGTAACAGGGTAACCTAGGGTGTAGCACAAGTTTTTGTTTGGTTTTGGCTTTGTTGAGAGTAATATCATGGTATGTTCTTCTAGCAAAAGAAAAAGTTAGGGCTATCTTTTTCTTCCTTTTCTAACGCTCTCTGAAATCTCAGAAGAGTTCATGTGTAAATTACAGAATACTTTTTTTTAAAAAAAATTAAATTAGATTTTACAGGGATTTTATGCATCCCTTTCTGCTATGAGCAGGGGGGGGTAAAATTGTACATTGCTGTGCTGGAATCATCACCCCTCCTGCATCCCACACCCCCATTGAATGTAACCAAAGCAAGGATCCAACGCTGTTTTCCATCATTTTAGGATGAAAAATAAAGGCAAGACATACAGAGAAATACTATCTGTTTTTCTCTCCTGTTTTTCATGTCACTGACACATTGTTTGTGAAAACACGAGAAGGGAAATCATATGCAAAGCGTGTGGCCTGTGAACAGGTATCATCTGACACCATCATGGCACATGCTGTTCTTTGCAAGACAACTTCACTGAAGAGCTGCAGCAGGGAGGCTCAAGGGAGCAATGGCTGATTGCAAGGACTCTCCCGTGTCTCCCTCTGATCTTCATCATTGGAAACTGTTGCTCTTCTCATGTAGTTTCCATTAAATTGTAAGGCCAGTCTGTCTTTGCTTACTAATTGGAATGCTGTCACTGATTTTTCACTTCAGCTTTTTGCAGTGTCCTTCAGGTTGGTCTGTTGTCTTTCTTCCTCATCTCTCAATCTTGTTATTGATTACTGATACAAGGACAAAATAAACCTATTCCAAGTCAATTTGCATGGAGAAAAACATGATTGCTAGTGCAAATAGCTCAACAGCAGATATTTCTGCCTGTTGTCCAAGCAGTATTCAGGCAGCTAGGCACATCTCTCTGTAATAAAAACACATTCCAAACTATAGCAGAATTTAATTGGAAAATCAGATGTTCCATGTTTCTTGATGGCTGATTTTCCACCAATTAAAAAGTAGGATGAGCTCCATTAGAGTCATAACAATGCTTGACAAATCCTTCTTTAAAGCTAATTAATGGCTGAACGGTGGAACGTACATTAGTCATAAACTGATAGCAATCTCTTCTGAAGAGTTGTTAGTTTTATTTGTGAACAATTTGGAGCAGCAATGCCACCCAGTTTACGTGAGGCTACACGTCTTCTGTTCCTGTGCCTCCTGCCAGGCTTTGAGTAGGTAGAGGGAATGGAACCCAAGCGTGAGGCTCCTCCCTGTCCAAATCAGAAGGAATCGGGAACTGATCAGAATCAGCAGGAGGGAGAGGCAGGAGCAGAGAGGAAGGAGAAGCACAACCTGTCTTTGGGGAAACCAGCCAGATGCTACTCAGAAAGGGAGGAAGAAGGGGAATATCATTCACCTTTCCCATGCTCCCTGTGGGAATTGGATTTAGTCAGACAGTTCTCTCCTGAAACTGTCATTTGTGTTCCTAATCCCTGTGCAGCTCCTCAGCCCTCCAAGCACTCTGCTTGCTCTTTGGATATCCCATTGATCTGCTGAACTCTGAAGAGAGTTCATCCAGTTTGGGGCAGCATTGAATTCTTACATATTTGTTTTAAGCATTCAGAATGTTGTTGGAAACAAAAAAAAAAAGAGGTGTGTTTTGGTTTTGTTCTTTTTTTCTTTTTTTTTCCCCCTGATGTTTTGTGTTTACTAGCAAAGGCAACAAGGGGTAGAAAACCAAATAAGGAGGAAAAATGACGCTTGGAAAAAAAAACCTCTCAAATTTTTCAGCTCCAAAAGCCATTTAGAAAAATTAAAAAATAAACTGTCTTGTGCAATTACCTTTTGAAAAAGCATTGAACAATTTTCAACCCACACTATCTTCTGTAGCAGAAATATTTTTTATAATATGCTGGACACTGAAATCAGGAAGTTATGAAACAATATAAAACATAGTAATGGCTTGTGGCACTTCAATTTTTCTCATTCCAAGGAACTAGCATGTTAGTTGGCCTTTCTTTCAAATCACAGTAGGACTTTAAGGTCAGTTCCTCTATTGATTTTTTGAGTATCTGCTGTGCTTTGCAGATTTTTCTCTTGATAGGTACTGTGTGCTGTTCCTGTGGGCTGGTATATTAATAGTATTTGATTTGAAGCACTCTCATGAATCATGTTGCAAGCTACATTTAGCTATTCCTAACTATTACAATACATAAAGTTTTGAGGCAATCAGATGCTATGGTAGTGGAGGCCAGAAGATAGAATTAGGGGAGAAGATTGAAAGGTTTGAATCCTTAGGAAATCACTTCACAAAACATGTGCCTGTTACTCACCTGTGCGTTAGTTCTGGCAGTATATATTTATAGTATGTGTATTTACTTTATAGCAACATTTTTCAGGCTTCTTGAATTAATTTTTAATGTTTGGGGGGAATAAATCATTTATTATTATTAATGCATTACATTTGTTCTTCTTTGTTATTGAAAAGTCCACTGAGGAAAGTGCAGCAAGGGAAACGTCGGTAGGCAGGGAAGTTCTCTTTAGATGTTTAGCAGTATTTGTAACAGTAAAAGAAAGAACTGGGAGCTGAATGAAGAAGCAAAGTGAGACTTGTGAGCTTTGCCCTAAGGAAATGACTTTTTGTTTGTCTCTGGTGCCACCGGTCACTTTTCAGCGTGTCTTGTCATTACTCACTGGGTTGGATCACGCTGCCTGTCCACAGAGGGTTTGTTTTATGGATGCCTTGGAGTTTTGTGTCAACAGACAGCAATGTGATTTGGTCCCTCAGTGCTGCCCTGGAAGGCAGCTGAACAGACAGGCACCCTCACAGATTTTACCGTTGTAGGAAACATCGTGGCAGCAGCTCTTAGGAGAGAAGCAGAGTGCAGGTGTTTTGCTGCAGGATGGTACCAGCTGGGCATTCGGCGTGAAGGAAGAGGAAGGACAACACACAAGAAAGAGGTGGCCAGAAGAGGGAAGACAAGGCCCTAAATGGAGAAACAGAAACAGCACCTACATCTAGGGCTACAAATGGAATGATTTTGTCTACTTTGCTGCAGGCTGGAAAGCTGTTATATCATAAGGTCTGAATGTTTGATGCTGAGAAATGGATCCTTGGCTTCACAGAGTGGTTAACAGTGGTTCTGAGCAAGTGGGAACAGGAATTACACCACAAATTTCTTTGATACCCAGCCTCCTTACACATCAGTTGCAGTAGCAAGCTGTGGCATCTCTAGCCATGTGCCCAGCCTCTTTTCTTCTTCAGTAATGCCAACTGATACCTTTGTTCCCTCCCTGTTATAAAAGCCTCTTTCCTCAGGAATTTTTTATTAACTCTTAATTTATGGTTGAAAGCACAGTAGTTTTCCTTGACCTATAAACCACATAGAAGAGCTTCATCCCCTTGCAACTGTGTAGAACTTTGAGGTTCGAAATGCTGAACTTTGCCAGAGTTTTTCCAGGGGCTCCAGTCACTTCAGCCCTTCGATGCTCTTTATCATGCTGTCTCCAGTTATGCTCTAGCCCTTGTATTTATTGATTGCTTTCCTTCCAAATCAGGCTGACATTAGCAAACATATTTTTGATTGATTATGTTTACATTCCTTCTTAGAGTGTTTCAAATCACTGTCTAGTGCTCATTTCCAGTTATGCTTGGAATGAGCTCAGCAATGTAGAAGTTACTCATACAGGGTCATGGTGATGGCGCTGCTGATTGTTATCACTGATCTATCCTGGACTCCTGGTTGATTCTTGCTGATTCCCACAGTTTTTTGTCATTAGCTCGTTATACTCTTTATCTTAAGAAGCATTCAGAAGTTTGGTAGGACATCTTAATTCTCTGAAAAGGAACTAAAAATGTATAGGAACTGCTAAAAAAGAACAACATTAGTTGTATACAACACATTACTGAATATGTTATTTGCTTTCAAAATTTTGGTGTGCTAAAATAAAACCCCATCATTTGTCTGTGGTGACTTATTTTTAATTGTTCTCAACACCAGACTTGGTGTCACTTCATCTTCTTCTGCTACAGTCATCTCACTAGTCCTTCTGAGCTTTCCTTTGTTGGTGAAATATTCCCCCTAAAATCATAAGTGTCCCCACAAAAAACCAACCTTAAACCTGTCTTGAAGCTTGCATGTTGAAAGAATGATATGTAAACAAAGAAACTCCTAATAATTTCTGCCAGAATCAGTCAAATTTTGTAAATTAATTTAGAAGCTCCTTGCGTGAAAGCATCCTTGAGAGCTGCTTGCAGACTGCTGGTGAGACTAAGGCATGGCTGTGAGGAAGGCAGATCAAGGAGCCTACCACGTTCTCAACACCCCCCGAGATGACATTTGAGAAGCGAGGTGGTTACAAGCAGTACAGGATGAAGTCATTGCTTATAAAATGCTTCACAAGATCAGAACTATCGATCATTCTTGTCTATTAACAGGTGATTCGCTACAACCCATCAGCTGTCCCCAAACAGCCTCTGTGAGAGGGATTTTGTTAACTTTATCATATATTTTTAGGATTCATTCTTCAAAAATCAATATCGAGTTATAAATGAGAGGATCTGTGGAGCAGAAGATAATGTGCAATTACATATAAATTCATTACAGACAGAAAAAAAAAAAAAAAAAAAAAAAAAAAAAAAAACATTCCCTTGTCACAAGATTCTGTAAGTTTTGTATATAAGCACTGCCCTCTACTGCTCAGGGATTTTCATTAACATGTATTAAAAAAAAAAAAAAAAAAGTTTCAACACTATTCTTTTTAATTAAAATGTTTGTATAGACTTGCCTGTAAGAAAAGGACTCAATCTTTTTTCTTTAAAGAAAAATCCTGCTTTATCCTTTTTTACAAACATAATCCACCTGTGTTCATATGTTAACACAGAGAACATGGTTCGTCAAGCTGCATGCATTTTCTCAGGCAGAAAAGTGGTAGAGGAAAACACATTTTCAAGTAATTGCATCTTTCAAAACTGACCTTAAAATCCTTCATTCTGAACTGTGACCACAGGAAGGCAAAGGAATAGAAAGATTTCAAATTGCGAAGATGCGATTGTAGCGGGAAAGGGTTTATTCCCAAAGCAAAGGCAATGCAATATAATCAAGCTATCTTGAATAAATTCTTGTTGCTATTTATCTGTTAATTTTATAGTACATTTTCTTAAAAGTCATAAGGTGCAAAACGTGAGAGCGAGTTGAAAAAGACAGAGAAATACTGTTAATACAGAATCACAGCGTGATTGCAAGGGCTGGGGGTTATCACCCTCTTGACAGGGAGCTGCTGTTGTGCCCGTGTGTGATGTACTACAGCGTTTGACATAATTTTCATCAGGACAGTCTTCTTTTAGAATATGATTATGTTCCTCTGTTATTGTATCGATAGAAATTAAAAATCATGGATGCAGGAGCAAAGGTACTATAGCAAAATAGGAGGATTGCAGTCACCATGTCACAGGAGTCCAGATGTCATGACTTGTACTGTGCTCGGCTTTAACAAATCACAAGGCTTGGAGGTTTTTTAGCTTTTTTTTTTTTTCCTTTTTTATTTTTTTTTTTCTTCAGGCCTAAGCAGTTATTTTCTGGAAGAAGTTTGAGCTTAACTTTGTATTTTACCCTGGTAACTCCCACTTATAAAGATGAAATTTGGGCTGAGAAATAGAGAATTTCAGCACAAACCCAACCAATCAGGGAAAACAAAGCATTAGAAATGGCCTCTGCATCAGGAGGGCTCACTTACACCTGGGGAGGGTTTCTGCTGCTTTCAGAAAGACCTCTGCTGGGAGGGGAGCTTGAAGCTTGTGGAGTTGGGAGAGTCTTAGTTTCTGAAAGTGTTTTGGTGGGTTTTTTTTTAGCATATTGCAGGTAATTTTCTCTCTGTTTTGTCTTTTTTTTTTTTTTTTTTTTTTGTATTGTGCTAATAGAGAATTGTTGATGTTAGCTGTAAGGTTGCTTTGGAAGTGTGTTACTTTGTGGGTGTAAATAGTGTATTGTGGGAGAATACTGGCTTTTAGTGGTGGTGTAACTATTTAAAATACCAATTTGGTTTGGAAGCTTTGTTAGCTAGCTTAATGGCTCTTTTGCAGAGCGTGTAAATGTCTTTAATGCAGGTCAACCATAATGAGTTTCTTCATAAGCACAAATACATTTGTTCGCCTAAGTTGCATCTCATTTAAAAACCACTTGTTAAGTTTTTTGATGGAAAATCTAACTTTCTTTCCTTGTGTTTTGCTGTGCAACTTGCTCTGATGTGTACTTCCTAAGTGGGAATAGGCTAAGGTAACTTGGTCACCTTCTGGGTGGAAAACAGCATTTATCATCATTTCAGGATAACGGCTTTTGCTTTGTTAGGGCCCGGGATGAAAGCAGCACAGGCATTGTAGAGCTGTGCCAGATGAACAAGTCTTTCTGTTTACGTGTGTTCCGAGAGTGAAATTTGCTGTGCAGGCTAAAAAAATTACATGCTCCTAAGTTTGCTTAGCTTGCAAATTCTGCCATGTATCAGTGCCTAATGTTTCTTGTTTTCTTTCTGTATGTTTTTTTTCCTTATTCCAGTGACATAGTTCTTCAGTAATTATTGTATTAAATCACAGTTTCTAAATCAAGCTTTTAGAGCTGTCTTTTCCTTCAACCCTGGTTTCTGTGATTATGATTTATAGAAGAAATTTCTAGTTGCTCATGAACTTTCTCTTCCCTGTTGCCTTTCACTGTGAGGCATGTGGGTAAACAAGCTTGCTTTTGCTTTTTAAAATCTCACTAAATGCGTATACCTGTGGAGGATGGATTTGTTAACTCTGGCTACAGGTCTTGCAACTAAAATGCCCTATAATTTTATTTTTTTTCCCCCCTAAGTGTACTGCAGCACTTAACCAAGAGGAATAGTACTTCAGAGATGCTACTGGCTTGAATGCCTCTTAATGGTCTGTGCTGCTGTGTTTACTGCAGAGTAGCAGCTATACAGGTGGTCTCGACTGGTTTTTAGTGTGCCTATTCAAAAGAGAGCACTGCAGTAGTTATGTATTATATTAATAATCTGGTGTACCGACTTTGAAACACTGTCTTTTCAGGGGTGTGTGTATAAATATATATATTCTTTTTTTCCCCCATAATTTAACGGGGGCGTGTTTATAATGCTTACCTCTGATAACCAGTAGATAGCACTTCTTGGGATGAATTGATCTATTAAGTGGTAAAGGGGTTCTCAGGGCACTTAAAAAACAAACAAAAAAAAAAATTAAAAAAAAATCTGATTGCACCTACCACTTAATCACATGTGTGATGATTTTACTCTAAAGGATTTCCTTTGGAGTGATTGATTGATCCTGATTCTCAGGTGCGTAATTTTACGACCTTTTGAAAGTGTCTTTGTCAGCCGAAGCAGCAGCTGAGTTGCAGTTTAGCTCACTCGCACAGGGGATGGGCTGTTGCCTTAAGTAGGATGAGGGCTTGGATAATCGGGCATTCACTACCTGCTTTAATTTCACTCTTCCGTAGAACTAGCACAGGTAGAAGATGTTGTATCTTTGATTTAAGGATGCCTCCCTATAGCAACCAGACTTAATTATTTTAAACTGTGTCCTGGATAAGTTCTCTCTTAGACATATTTCTATATAGCCATTGTTTAATTAGCATCCTAAGGTTATGAGAAATCTATGGATATTTAGCATGGTATTTGGCTGTAAAATGAGCATCGAGACACTGGGCGTGGCTGTTGTCTCCTTTGTTATGACATGCCTTCTTAAATGTATTTTTTGGGAAAAAAAAAAACCCAACCCAACAGTCTTTTTAATGTTAATGTAAAAGCTAAGCAAAATTTATCACACAAATCAGATGCTGAAAGCTGGATTGGTTCAGCAAGAGAGGCATTATGTTGCCCTCCCCCTCCACTCTGTGTTCCTGAGAGCATCTCTCCTGTAAACTGGCAGGGTTGCTCGGAAAGTGCTAGTCTCTTCCCTTCAGATACTAGTGAGGATTCAGCAAAAGTTCAACAGCAAAGTACAGAAGCACCAGATCTCTGACTGGGCTGCAATTTAGAAACAAGGTCAGCTTTGTCAAGACCAGGAGTTTTCTGGAATATGCATGGGGATGAGGAACAAATAACGGGGGGGTGAATGCTGCCTGATGCCAGGAATCCAGCTGACTGCTCTGGGTTATCTCACCCTCTCTTTCAGACTGAGAACATGGGGGACGTGACACCAGCAGAGGAGACTGAGCTCAGGGCTGCTCGCAGCCAGCTCTTTGAGTCCAGCATGAGGAATGAAGCAAGAAGACTGAGGACTTTTTGGCGATGGCCAGGCACCTCACCTGTATCTGCCCGCGATTTGGTCAAGGCTGGCTTTTTCTTTGTGGGTCCAAGAGATGAAGTACAGTGCTTCTGCTGTGGTGGTGTCCTGAAGGACTGGGCTCCCGGTGATTGTCCAGTAGTAGAGCACCTGAAGTTCTTCCCTTCCTGCAAATTCATTTGTGGTGAGGATGTTGGGAACCAAGAGATGCTTCCTCTTCAGGAAATCTTTGACACTGTGGATGGGCAGTTCCTCAGTCTTTTGCAGGGGATAGATAGTGAGGAGACAGCCCTGCCCAACACACCAGAATACCCAGAGATGGTGACAGAGGAGATGAGACTCTCTACGTTTCAGAACTGGCCACAGTATACTGACATGCATCCTGAGCAGCTGGCTAGAGCAGGATTCTTTTACACTGGTAAGTGCTTGGGGAAATGTTTTTAACTCTTACTCAAGTTAACTTTTGAAGGTGTCGCTGTGTTTTATTGATCGTACAAATACTTGCGAGTATGTGTAGTGCAGTTAGAAACCGCATCCTTGCTTCAGCCTGTGCTGTTTCACCTGCTGCTTGTGCGGAATTCACTTTGTGGTAACTCCTGTTGGGTGCTGAGGGGTCCAGTAGGTAGTTGGTTCCCTTACTAGCAGGAGTGGAAAAAGTGTCATGTTTTAAACAGATGTTTTACTGGCAGAAAAAGTGTGTGCTTTAAGATCTATGGAGCCTTCTTATTACTTGCACTTCTAAAAGGACTTGAGGTACTTGACTTGTCACGTTTTGTATAAGCTTTGTCCTGTACTGAAGCCTTCTCTACTCAAAAAACCCCAAATCTGAGTGAAACCTGTGGGCAGTCAGGCCTTTTGGCTGTTATTGTGGCTTGTTTTCGTAAGGACCCTGGACTTGTAATACAGAAATAAAAATGATACTTGTTTTTTGAGGAAAATAAGCAATATTTCTTGTTACCATATGAATGTCACTGTAACATCATTAGTTCCCCTTGCAAAGGCTTTGCTGGTTAGATAGTAAGTTTGAAGAAGTGCTCCTCCCTGGATTGACCAGTCAGAGGAAATATTTGCAGTATGTTAATACTTGACTATAGTTAAATACTGGGGTCCTTCTGTTTCTCAAAGCTAGCAGTGTAATGATATTTCTGTGTTACAAGTGTGACTCCTTCCATATGAAGGAATCTGTTTGTCTTGTATTTGCACATCAGAGATGTGGAAGGAGGTGACAGGCAGGGTCTGTAAACTAAAGGTCCCTTGGCAGAAACAAACCTTGTGCATTCTGAATGTGTCTTGTTCTCATTGTTGAAGTAAAATTGAATTGCCCCTTTCTCTGATTACTATTTGTTGGTAAAGATGGGAATGGGGGGAAAAAAAACAGCCTTAAACTTTGTTATAAATCTGAGATGCAACACGGTGAATGACATGCACATAGGAAAGTCTGTCTAAATAACTGACTTCTGTTCTTTTAGCTGGAGTTATAGGAAGCGACTGGTTAGTTTGCTAGTATGTGTCTATACTTCTGCAAAATTTTAACTCGGACTGCATGACTGGGATCTTGCTGTAAATCCAGTTAATGCTGAGAACCTGTACCTGTCTACTTGGAGCACAGTAGCAGGGGTGAAACAGTACACATGGCTAAATGGAAGAGCATCATATGCATGTTAGCTTATCTGCTGCTTTTGTCTTTTTATTAATTTTAAGGCACACAAGACCAGCGTGGCCAGGACCACTGAATAAACTATAAAGCAGCGTCTGCAGCTAAGAACCTGTGTGTTTTGTGTTGGACTTGATTTATCATTTGCAGAGCAGCCATTTGATAGCCCAGCACAGAGACTTATTTTGGGGACTTCTTGGGCAGCAGCAGCCTGACATGGCTCTCCTCCGCATGAGCGGGAGAGCTCTGGAGCTGAGCACTCGAGTTGTGTCAGAGCACTGCTTGGCTTAAGTGTCTGTGACTCCACCTCACTGGAAGTTTTTACATTAGGGCAGGGCATTTATAGGCAGTTCTTCTTAACTGTGTTTGTTTTGTTTTGTTTTGTTTTTCTTCTTCTGAAACTTCTGCAAAGAGAAGCACAGTAACAGGATTGGACAATGTTGAGGCAAATTCTTATACCTATGAGATGGAAGCTGTGTGCATCCTCTGCCTGCCTGCTGCTGGTTATGGCAGATTGTTATTAGGAAACAATGTTTATCACAGCTCTGTTCTAAATGCAGGCAAGAGGGGATTGAGTAAGTACGTGCATACATGGGAGCGATGGTGCTCACGTGGATGCTGCCTGTCAGCTTGTGACCCAGTTCTGGAATCATCTCAACCAGCCACAGCTCTGGGAGTTCAACCTCTCATCGGATTTCCTGCCCCTATACAACTCGCACAGCGTTGGTACCGTGTCATGTGCTCATCTGTTCTGTCTGGTAGCCTGTGTTCTGTGCTGCATCTCTCCCCAGGTCCTCATTCAGGGCTAGTAGAGTGTCTCAGATGTCAAATAATCTCTTACTGTCTTTTTTCAGGACAAGGAGATGTTGTGAGGTGTTTTTACTGTGATGGAGGTGTGAGGAACTGGTCGTTTGGAGATGATCCTTGGAGGGAACATGCTAAATGGTATCCAGGGTAAGTCAGTCTTGATTGACAAATGTCCCTCATAGCAAGGTCAAAAGATATGCTGAGATTTTCTAATCTGACCTAGAGTTCACCCTCTAAAAATTGAATTAAAATCACTTTTGATGTTCAAGAACAGCTTTGGTTTCTACTACTCTGAGGTACAAAAAGAAAGATATTGTAAACCTTGCTTTTCTGCAGCAGTCCTTGTCTTTTTTTCTGAACTGGTCTATTATCACATTTCCTGTGATCTGCTCCAAAGGATGTAACAACTGAGCTCACCTTGGGCCAAACATGAAGAGTGAATTAAGAGGGCATCATGAGCCTCTTACTGTTGATCTTCATGAAAGCAGTTTCAAGGCTTCTGTTCTGGAATGTGAAACAAAGATAAGGATTCTGGACTGGGGCCAAACGTGAAAGGGTTGGTTCACTGATACAGCAGAATAAACGACTCAGAATTAGTCTCTTGGCTCTTACGAAATTGCTTTTGACTTTATTGTGAATTATGACTGGAAGTAAGAACTGTAAATCAACTGGATGTTGATCTAGCTATATATAGATAGCTTGAGGAATGTTCTAGAATAGCTTGCCATTTTATATATGACAGTTTCAGGGAGTGGCCTACTTCTTGCCCAGAGTTCTGCCTTTTGTGGTAAAGTATCTGCTCCCTGCTTTACAGATCCTCTGAGGAATTGGGAATTGCAGGCTCCTCCTCTGCATCAGTTTACCGTAGTGCAGAATGTCCTGCAGATGGGCTTTGACCCCACCTGGGTAGCTAACCTGGTAGAGAACAGATACATGCTGACTGGGACTTTCTACCCATCTGAGTCTGAACTGATTTCTGATCTGCTTCAGCCAGATTGGGAAGAGAGCAGCAGCGCAGAGGAAAGCAGAGGTATGCCTGACTTGCACACCCACGTTCTTGGTGGATCTCTAACCTCTTATTCATTTCATCTTGAGCACTGTTGTGAGTGTCTTGCGGGTCTACCTTCTCTCTTCTTAGGCTGGAATTAAGAGTAATAACCTGAGGCTGAAGAATGAGGTTCTGTTTTTAAAGAAACCTGAAAGAGCTGTGATTACTAGTGTAATGGGAGCTGTATCTGCCTCCAGTAGCCTATGGGGTAGATATCCTTGACATTTTCTGCTGCCTTAGACCTGCGGTAGCAGACATCTGTACGATGTGGAGGCTTGTGCACAAATTCACATCTGATGCAGACAGACAGAGGTAGTTGCCTGAAGCAAGGCTTCTAGGATGGATGAGTGCTCCAAGCCTATTGAAAATTGAATCAGTGGCTTGATCAGAAATAGCCATACTTGTTTGTTTGGATAATATATATTCTCCTTAACTTATCTACGTCTGTCTTGTTATCTGTGTTGCGGAATCTGTTTGCCAAGTGAGGTTTATTTGAAGATGCAGTTCTACGCTGGCTTTCTCTGGTAGCAAGCCTGCTTTCCAAAGCTCCAGTCTGCCATCTCTTTAGCTAAGGCAAAAAAAAAAAAAAAATCAACAAAGCTGAAAGTGTGATTAAATAGGAGCAGGAATGAGCAGTTGATGGCTCTGGCCGTGTGATAGATAAATCAACTTTGAGGAGACAGTGTGATGCGGACACATTTTGGTAGGGAGGTTAACATCTGTAGCAACTGAAGCACCACAGAACATCAGCTTTACCAGGCTGAGTGTGTGAAGTTATCAGCGGCGTAAAGAGGTGCTTAACCTAAGGCTGCTGAAATCCAGGATATTTCATCTTTTTAAACAGCACTGTCTGAAGAGGGAGGAAAGGGGTAGCATTTAATGCCATCTTCTTTCCTGGTTATACAGATGCTGTTCAGAGAGAGACTGAAACATCAAGTTCAAGAGAAGAAATGCAATCTGTGCAACAAAAGGAATCAGGTGCTCTGGGCTGACAGTGGTGGTGAAATTGAGCCTAGGCATAATGGGGATGATTTTTATAGTAATGGTATCAGTAGTTATTGTATTCATTCCTTTTTTTTTTTTTTTTCCTCAAAACTAGTCTAGCACTTAACCTAGGAAATTACTTTACCCATCTTCCATGTAGCCACAAGCCTCCTGAAACTGTTCACTCCCTTTGCTTTTGTCCGTTTTGGTTGCAGTGCTGCTAGCAAGGAAAGCCAACTCCAACCTGTAGGCATGGAGCTCTGCACTTGGGACCACAACAGAGCTCTGCAAAGAAGCAAATTTTATATCCAGATAGGAAGTGAAAATACCAACCCAGAAAGTACCCAGTAAGAGTTCAAGCACAACCCTGTGGGGTGAGGAGAGGCTGATCAGACCCTCCCACCACTTCCCTGAGGGCTAACTTTTCACCTGTAGCCCAGG